TTAATTGCCATTTGTATCTATAATTAATTGATATGTAACTGTATGAGCTTGTTAGGTGGGCAATAAAATTGAATGAACTATCCTAAATGATCAGCTAAGAATGAGGCTGTTACCTTATTATAGTAATCTAAGGGTAAATCATGAACTTGTACCCAAACTGGAAAGGAAGGAAAACAAAAGGAAGATAGAGGCTTAGGTGGGCAATAAAAAAGGAGATAAGGCAGCCTCGCATAAGCCATGGACCATTGCAAATCATAAACCTCAAATCCCCTTTTAATTGAAAATAGAAGAGAAAGTTATTTCCAAACCGTTGAATCACAAATATTTGTCCTTTAGCTTCCAATGACGATAAGCAAAATATTCCAGCTTAAATAGATGCAATTTATGATTGTCTAGAAGACATTCCAATCAGACTCGACACAACCATAAGGCATTGATGCATACGCAACCATGGTAACCAAAAAACCAAAATCACATAAGGAGAAAAAATATACACACTAAGAGAGGCGAGCACAATGATCAGGTGTAATGATTTCGAGAGACAAATAGATTGAGGTGATGCATCAATTATCAGACAGATAAACTCAAAAATTATTCAATATGAATTTAGATGTAAAATTAATTTAAATGAGAAAAGGTAAAAAAAAAATCTTTTATATGAGGGTATAATAGTAAATTATTTATTACCTCTCTTTCCCTCAATTGTTGAACTAAAGAAAAGGACTGTTAAAAACTCCTCTACTCCCTTTTACTCCAAGCAAAATTAAGCAAGATAATATAAAATACTTTCCTCCTCTTCCTTTGCCCAGAAATAGCACAAAACTTATCAAGGCATTTATTAATGGCTTTGACCTATTTTCTTGAAACCTCCCCAAACATAATCAAATCATCTGTATAGAAAAGATGGAAGACTTGGTGGCCCATGCTTGAAGAGTTTAACAAGTTTCCATTTTTCCCTCTCTAATGTCTTCTTCAAATAAGGGTGAGTTTTTGTAGTTAGCTCTATCAATAATTGTGAGATGATGAGACAGAAAATCATATCCCAAGAAGGATTAGAAAGTTGACAAGATCATCGTGAATTGAAAAGATTATACAAGTCTACGGAGAGAGAAATAGTAAGTACAATTGACTAAAAGAGTTGCATTTCTTTTTGGAGAGGCGCTGGGGATATTTACATTCTCCCTCCATTTTTACATATAAAATATTTTTAATTGAATTACATAAATCAATAGAAATTGATTATCCACTTAAAAGCATAACAATATTTTAATTTTGTCCCTAATTATTTTAAATAAAAAATAAATCTCTTTTTTAAAATAAATTTATAAATACTTGTCTTTTTCACCTTCCAATATAGTAAGAGTATAATAGTTCATTTATTAAAAAAATATGTTGATAATCTTTTATATTTAAGAACCAAAAGAGATTCTAAAATTTTTTTTATATATAAGAACAGAGGGAGTATTAATTAGGATATTTCTCCTTGTAGTTGTTCTTATTATTAAGTCCGTGACCCTACAAGCTTACCAACACACACACACACACACACACACACACACACTCTCTCTCTCTCTCTCCCCCCCCTCCCTCTTACATTAACCACCTCACTAAATTTCATAAATAAATAAAATATATTAAAATATAGGGAAAATACAATTTTTGGTCTTTAGAGTTTCATTAGGTTTTATTTTTAGTCCCTATAATTTTTTTAGTGTTTTCAATCTCTATAATTTTAAAAAAAATTGCGTGACCTTTGTTTTTCAGGTCTCTATTGTCTCCATTTTTTTAGTAGTTTTGGTCTTTGACTAAAAATATTGAAAAAAATTATAGAAACTAAAAGCAAAATTTAATGAAATTATATGTATTAAAAATTATATTTTTCCTAAAATATTTTAGTCTTCCCAAATAAGATTTTTATATTTATAATAATATATTTTCCAATTTTATCTTTTCAAAATTTAACATTACTTTCTTGCTTTTGTACTTTCAGAAAAACATAAAATATTTTTTTATAAATAATTTAATTTGATTTTTTTATTTTAAAAAGATATTGTCATGAATTTCAATATCACATAACAGAGTTAAATAAAGGATTAAATAATAATTTGAATCCTAAATTTTACATCCTTTTATATTGATATATTTTAATGTTTGAATAATTAAATTTGTGATAATTTAATGCTTGCCGTTAATTTCAAGGGAAAGTTAGTTAATTGTTGCCCAAGAATTTTCTCTCTCCTCGTCTGCTCTCTCTCTCTCTCTCTCTCTCTGTCTCTCTCTCGCTGCTTCGACCATAATGGCGAGGAGGGTTGTTTTCCGTGAGAACATGCCAGCACCAGCAATGCTACTGCCATGAGGGTGAGCATCAGAGCTAGCTCGCCAAACAGGTACGGAATCAAAGATTTCAAGCCTCGGAAACAGCTGCCTAAGTAGAGACGGCGACGGCAAAGAGTTGAAGTTGGTCGGAGTTGACGGGGAAGGCCTCATTATGCTTAGTGTGGTCTTTAAGCGTGAAGGGCAGAGGGAGGTCGTAAGCTTGGCAACAATGGGGATCGATCTTGAAGCTGGCGGGAAGAGCAAGAAGACTAAGAGAACGGCACCCAAGTATGTGCCTATTCTGTTTCTCCTCTCATTTCAATAATCTCGCCTAACCAATCACTAACCCGCTCTGTTTCTTTTCTTTTTTGCTTCATTCGACAGTTCACTCATCTTCCATTCCTTTTTTATCTGTCATTGCCATGAAAGAGTTTGCGCAAACAAATAATCCTTTTTTTTTTTACTAATGAAGAAAGAGAGAAAGAAGAAGAGCCCTTAGAGCGAACAAGGAGAATAAATTGAGTGAAAGGCAGACGAACAATGTCACGTGGGGCTCACATTGCGGAGAGCTTTATTCCCAATTTATGGCCATTCACGGCTCTCCCAACATGCATCGTTTTCATGCAACACCAATGCAAACACAAGTCCAAATTTATTCTCTAGTTCATAAAGGGGAAGGAAGATAAGATTGCAGTTTCGGTGAGGACCGTGGCTGATGATGTGCAAGTTTATGAAGTTCCTTCTTTGAAAGTTGTTGCACTCCATTTTATTTTCAGATCAGCAGGGGAGGAGGGAGAGAGATGGAGACAGCGAGGAGAGTGGGTACAGGAAGAGAGTGAAAATTCCTGACCCCACAATTAACCGACGTTTATTTAAAATTAAACTTTTATTCTTTTAATTTTATATAAAGGTTTATTTCAATCTTTAATTTTATAAAATATTTTTTTAATTTTTTAATTCTAATATCATCAATTTTAAATAATTATTTTTATATCAATCATCATTATTTTTAAAAAAATTAAATTTAATATATCAACATTGAAATATATCTTGTCAATATTTAAAAATTTAATATAAAAGTTTATCAGGATAAAATTAATAATATTAAGGTTAAATGATTAAAAAAATATTTTATAAAATTAAGAAATTAAAATAAAATATTATATAAAATTCAAGAAATAAATGCATAGTTTAGCTTTGAAATTAATATCATAACTTAAATTACCCTAAATTTAATTGTTTAGGATTTAAAAATATACTAAATATAAGTTTAGGGTTGAAATCTCCATTAGGCATATAGTTTAAGACCTAAATTGTCATTTAACCCTTAAATAAATTGTATTAAGAATAAAAGAGTATGATTCTATAAAGGAATACCCACTGCACATCCAAAAATTGCTTGTATGATGATTTTATTTCTGCTGACCTTATTATTAGTTTGTAAATATTATGTTATATTTATGAAATTTGAGTTTAATAATTTGTCTTGTTATATTAATTGATAAATAATTAAAATTTATTTTTCGAAACATCTTTTTGGTGGGCTCTTAAAAAGGCTTTTTAAAATGTTTTATTTTTACATTAAAAAAATACATTTCACCCCGCTAATAATCCTATTATGTACCTATTCGTAATTTTAGTTTTCAAAAGTTTACTTGATTTATCTAAAAATGGAAATTAAGAAAATGGAATGAGTATGAACAGAATTATACTCAAACACACACATGTCGAGCTCGTGGCTACCCTCATTTCCTAAATAATTTAATGGTGTGTTAAGATTAATCAAGATTTGAATTTGAATCATATCCCTAGTTTGAATACACAAAAAATTATGTATTGATTTGGTTTAAATTTAAATTCATTTCAAATTATAATTCCTTAATAATTTTAAATTCCTTCTATATTCTAATTATTTAAAATTTTAATTATTTCAAATGTTTTATTCTCTTTATATTTTACTATTGATACATTTATAACTCTTATATATTTTTAATCTCCCTTCAATTAAAAAATAAAAATAAACTCGTTATTTTCAATTGTTCATTTTCATTTTGAATTTTAATTTCGCTTTCTTCTTCAATTAAAATTTTTTAAACTATTCAAATAAAAGATTTTAAATACATTAATTTCAAATGTAAGATTTAAAATGCAAGATTTTAAATTTAAAATTAAAATCCAAATCGATCGATCCTAACACTACCTAAATATATTATACTATTTATCTACTAACAAAGTCGGTGATAAAACGCTGTAATTGAAATTTTATGTCCAGGATTCAGATATTGCTGTCATAACATTGGAGATGAATTATAATTACAATACTTATGTTCTTTTAATGAAAGATGTATTCAAAAAAGAAAAAATCCTCCTTGTGTCTAATATGGCAACTTCATTATTTTCTTTCAAAATTTTTAATTTATTATAATTCAAAATTCATCATACTTTTGTATGATGTAACCATAAACTGTGCAATATATGGGATTTAGTCTAGTTATGTTATATTTGACACGATAGTAATGCTGGTAAAAACAAAAAAAAAAGAAAAGATTATGATAGTGACGATGATAAGTTTAAAAACAACGCACCCCACACTGCGTATCGGTTCTTTTTGAGACGGAGGAGGAGGAGAACTACAATAAAGGGGACGTTAATTCAAATGAGGGTCGGTGGAAATGATAGACCGGTTATGATACCAATGCCGAACGTAGTAATATGTAACAAAAATTTATAAAGAAGTTGCACTATTCAGGTAAATAGAACAACTATTTTTTTAGGTTGGCGAAACACGTCTGGTTAATATGAAAGCATGATTGGCTCGTTGGTTGGTTCAAGAAACTCACAATTGGGAAACTGGGGTTTAGGAAACTAGTGCATTAACTATTGAGGCGGTTACTTGACGAGGTTGCCCTTCTCTCTTAGCTTGGCCACGTTTTGTTTCATGGCCTCTTTCCTCTTCTTGCTGGCCACAACTTTAGCTTGAACCCCGCTAACATTTGGATCCTTTTTCTCTTCTGATGGAGGTGGCTGCTGCCTTCTCGCAGCGGCACGTGCATTTTGGCTAAGCTCGCTCGAACTCAAACCCAGCAACGCTGTGCCGCTTATTATCAATGTCCTGGATTAGACTAAGTCAATTGAAAGAATGAGAACATAAATTGTAATATCATAGTAATGAATGGCTGCATGGCCGTATAAGAACCTGCGAGGCAGAGAGGCAGGGTGATGCTGGGGAGAGGCTCGATGATTTTGACAGTAATGACCTGCAGCGGCCCATATGGCTTGAATCGGAAACAATGAGGAACAGTCGAAGCTCGTGCTCTTGCAGTCCCCTCTCCCTGATCTTTCCCTTCTCGGTATAGCTGTAGTGGCGGAGGCAGCAGCTCCCGCTGCCATAGTCAGAGAGTGCGCCATCACTTTGACCTCTGTTGCTCTGGAAATCAAGCAGCACACGCCATTGAATCATTTATATCATCGTTGATATTAACTCCACAAAATGTCTTCCGATTGTGGCTGTGGATGCTGTTTCGAGTTTCTTCCTCATAGTCATTGGTTGGTACCGGATAAGGTTGCATCGCTCAGTGGACCCTCCTTCGAGTTTTAATCATGCACCACTCCAGCTTCCACATCATCGGTTTTATGCCTTTCACTCTTAATTTACACCCACACCCCCAGAATCAAGTTCCATGGCGAGAGCTTTTTTTTTTTTGGTTTTGTTTTGGGCGAGGGGTAATTTTCTAAACATAATAACGCTTCGATTTGCGAGACCGACAATATTTCTATATCCATATATATATATATATATATATATAAAATAAACATCCGAGGTTAATTATCTTAGCATGAAAAAACACAGCAAAAAAAAAAAAACAAAGAAAAGAAAAAGAAAACGCGAGTTCTAATGGCATTAAAGAAAAAAAAGGTTCACGGTCACTACACGATGCATAAAATACAAATGCCTTATTCCTTTTCAGCAATCACAACAAAAACATCCTTCAATGACCACCTGCGTCTGTCGTTTTTAGCTGGGGGATTAATAACCGCTCTCTCAGCATTTGCCAAACGGTAACCAATCACTATGTCCCTTCTCTGCCGGGCTCGCAACATTATCTCGTAAAAACTCAACTCCTCGCCTTCAAACACGTACACATCAGCTTGCGTTATATGCATCTCATTTCCCTGATAAAAATGAAGAAAAACTCATCACTGACTAGATTTGCCATGTTTCCGGAGACAAGGAGATTGGAGAAAACAGAAGGCTGCAGATGGTCAATTCCAATCCTGAAACCAGATTTGCCGCCCCACTTGAAATGAATGATAAATTTGAAGGCAGTTCTCCATTGGTACCAATTACAATAGCACTAAATAAAGAGTTTTATGTTACACAGGTCTCATGACAAGAATGAACAACAGTAGTAACCAACCGGAAATCCTCAATAACACACATTTAAATCCTCTAAAGTTACTGCAAGATCCTACAGAAGAGAGTAAAAAATAAAATATTTCAAATGATGTTTTATTTAATTTTATAAAAAATTTCTCACAGGAGCCTGCACTCACTTCACAACTTAGCAATAGGGAAATTGGGCGGGCTTTTCAAAATACAGGATGTAAAATAGTACCTCTTCTGCAAAGAGCTCCTCCAAGACGTCATTTATCTGTCGATCCTCTGCCACCATAGCCAAAGCCATGCTGACAAGTTCATTTGATAAAACATAATCACTAATCTTTGACACGGATAAAAGATTCTTTGTCCTCGGATCCAAAATTTCACTGATTATAACAGATCTATCTGAAGCCTGCTTCATTTGCCCAATCCAGGAGCCTTTTGAGAAGCTTCCTCCATGAGTTGGACCCACCATAGCTTCATAAGGAAGACGCCTAGCCTGAAAACACAAACAATAAAGCTTCAAAAACAACACAAAGCAAAGAGGCAATATAGTTGTGTTGAAATCCCTAATGATCAGGAAAATCTTGCCATAATTAGGACCATTGCTGATTTAGAATTTAAGATGGGTCATCTAAGCAGAGATTTTAGTATTTTGTTTGCTCATTTTTAGAATCTGCTTTCAATATATATCCCTCACTCCCTTTGTAATTTGTATAGCAAAGTTAAGTAATATACGGACGTCATTTTCTTTAAATGATATCAGAGCAGGGCTCCAAGTAGAGTCTCACGCAAAGATTCATGAAAGATGTCTTTGACTTTGACAGCTGATTGTCTGCAACCAAAGAATTGAGTTTAAATCCAACCAAAACCCTTACCATCCTAGGTTTGAGTTCAGATAGCTCTTCCTATCAACATGCAGCTGAAAAGCTGAATGGAAAAAAATTACATTGGATGGTATCATGTAATCCATGTAGGCAACGTCACATAAAGGGACAAGGCTCCTTCTTCTTGTTAGGCTCATACAATCAAGCTTGCCATTGAAGGAAGAGGTAAAAATACTAAAGACCCTCAAAAAGGCAATTATGCTGCATATGATGAATGACCAAAAACTCTAGCAAACTCTTGGCTAGCAAATTCAATGGTTCCACCAATTCATCAAACTTTCATGTTTCTTAATACAGCTTGTGCGGTGTGGGAAGCAATGAAAGAAGCTTAGTCTCATGGAGAGAATGCTTTATAGGTTTTAGAGATTAAAACAAAGTTGTGGCAGATGGAGCAAGGCAACAGGGATGTCTGATTATTACATGAGTATTAGAAGAACTCAATGCTCACTACGAAGAGGAATGGAAGTGAATGACTGATTGTGTTCTGTTCAAGAGAATGAACGAGAAAGACTGAGTATTTGATATTCTGGCGGGTCTGAACAAAGAACTCAACACGTTCAGAGTCACATCCTCACTTGAAGCCCACTACCATCTCTCCAAGAAGCGTTCATTGAGTTGAGAGGGAAGAGGCTCACCAAAAAACTCAAGTTAAAGGATGAGATAAGATCTTCTCCATAGTGTTTTGCCTTGTTGACCAAAAACAATTGGCCTGACCTGAGCCCAAGACGACAACAAAAACAATGTTTATTTTTTCTACCATTGCAAGAGAACAGGGCATACTAAAGAGATATTGTGGGAATATCTGAATTTATTGTAAATATTCTAGCCTAATTACTAGGGATATTCTAGCTTGATTATTAGAGATTATTATTGATTATTATGAGTTACTAGTATTTATTATTTTGTCTCTCAGCTTTGTGCATATATACTGATTGTAACACATACTTTTGTATCAAGAGAAATATTATTCTCTCCCAAAATTCCACATGGTATCAGAGCAACGACAACAAAATTTCAGAAATAATTTTTTAAGATTGGATCGCTCGTTGCTTTCAATACAATACATTGGGGTTTTCATGCAAGTGCTGCTGGAGGCCTCATTGACCTTCACTACCAGCCCCATGAGGAAGAAGAGGCTTCGATCGGCAAACCCCAAGAATGCCACAACCAACGGTGGCGCGAGTCACAAGTGCCTCCATAGTATTCAATGCTAGAGAAGCTTCAATAGTGCGTGGGAGAGTGTACATGGTCCAATAGGGTTCGACGACTTCCTCTAGCATTGACTTGTAGATTCTGGCTCTGGGCAACTTCCATCTATGGACTTGTGGCTTTCCCTTCACTGTTTTGCACTATTGCTCTACTTTAATAGGTCTATGGTGTCTGATTTGTCTTGAGCATGGGAGTATATTTATGTTTGACATTATACGAGTAATAATACTCCTATGTCTCATACCAAATGTTGCCATAACTACACCTATTGCATCAATGGTCAAAAAGGGTTCCTCCCTTCAAGCTTTAACAACATCATGCAATAAAACAGTGTGAATTATTGACTCCAGAGCCCCTGACCACATGACTAATTGTCAGGAATTGTTTACCACCTACACCCCTGTATTGGGAATATTAAAGTCAAGATTGCATATGGCTCATTAAAACCTGTAGCAGGAAAAGAGAGGATTCAAATTTCAGATTCTATAATGTTAGAATCTATACTTCATGTGTCTAAGCTTGATTGTAATTTACTTTCGGTTAGCCAAATGACCTAGCAGTCAAATTGTTGTGCTAAATTTCTCCAACCCCATTGTGTGTTTCAGGCCTATCATCTAAAGCAACAATCAAAAGTGCTAAGGAGTACGAGGGGCTCTACTATTTTAAAGTCTCCACTCGAAGGGGTAACTCATTGGTTGTTGGTAACTTTGCATCTACCTATAAAGCTAATGATTTTATGCTATGGCATAAGAGGATGGGTCATCCTAATTTTCATTACCTTCAACAATTGTTCCCAACTCTATGTCCCAACTTGAATATTAATGACATTCATTGTGAAGTGTGTTATCTTGCCAAACACCATAGAACATCTTTTCCCAAAGCCAAATATACACCCATTTCACAACCATTCATAGTGACTTGTGAGGACCATCTCGTTCACCTAATCGTACTAAAGCAACATAGTTCATTTCCTTTATTGATAACCACAGTCGTGTCTGTTGGGTTTATCTTTTACGAAACAAGTTTGAGGTTGCATCCATGTTCATGAATTTCTTCAACATGATCAAAACCCAGTTTAATACCACCATCCAAATCTTACACACCAACAATGACATTGAGTACTTGAACCAACCTTTGAGTACCTACCTCTAAGTGCACGATATTGTGCATACCAATTCTTGTGCCCATACGCCCCAACAAAATGGGGTTGCAAAAAGAAAAAATTGACATAACCTTGACATTGCTAGAGCAATCATGTTTACTTGTAATGTACTTAAGTTTTATTGGGGGGATGCCATTTTTCCTGCGACCTACCTTATCAACTCTTTGCCTAGTCGGGTCTTATCTTTTGAAACTCCTCTCTACATACTACAAAGTATTTTCTCCACATCCCATATTGAAACCAATCTTCTACTTCATGTGTTTGGTTGGACAGCCTTTGTCCATAACCACCAAAGCACCAAACTTAAACCTCAAGCCACCAAATGCATATTCCTTGGCTATTCGTCCATTTAGAAAGGATACAAATGGTTTGTCCCTGTCACAAAACACACATTTGTCAGCCTTGATGTCACCTTTTATGAAGTTACTCCATTCTATCCCAATTCTTCAATTCAGGGGGAGTGCACAAGTGAATTTCAAACTTAGGAACAAGAACCTAAGAAGTAGTGCTTCTTGAGCCATGGTTTTCACTAATTGAACCATCACTACCACCAACTCCTGAGCCATTACCTTCATCTACCATTCCAACAATATCCCCTCTTATGCCACAACTTGAGGAACACAGGCAAACAGGAGATGCAAAAAGAACACAAAAGGGAGAACTATCCGTTTACACTTGGCAAAAAGGATCGAAAGATAGTGAGCAACTTGTACCTAAAACACTTGAGAGAGTCAGAACCAAAGATAGCTATTGAAGCAAAAGCTCATGGAGACTTAGGTGATATAGAACAAGGGCTTCGTTTGACAAGTTTTCCAGAGTCCTCAAGTCTGAAGGTTACAAGCAAGCCCTGTTAGATCATACAATGTTTGTTAAGGTCAAAGGAAGCAAGAAATGTATTCTTATCATCTATGTTGATGACATAATACTCAATGGAGATCACCTTGAGGGGATAGAGAGAATGAAGGCTGTACTTGGCAAGGACTTTGAGGTCAAGGATCTTTGGAAGTTAAAATACTTCCTTGGGATGGAAGTTGCTAGGTCAAGAAGAGGAATCTATATTTCTCAAAGAAAATAAATACTTGATCTCTTAAGTGAGACAGGTATGTTGGGCTACAAACCTATTGAAACTCTTACTGAGGTCAAGAAATCAAAGAAGAAGCCTAAGGTAAACAACAAAGATGAAGAAGAGGAGGAGGAAGCTCAAGAAAACCGCTGGCAAAGAGAGATATCAGAAGCTCGCTGGAAAATTGATATATCTCTCTCATACGAGACCAAATATAGCTTTTGTTGTCAATGTAGCCAGTCAATATATGAGCTGTCCAATGAACAGTCATATGAAAGCAGTCTACAAGATTTTGAGATATTTGAAAGGTACACCTAGTAGAGGCTTGTTTTTCAAAAAGCATGAGCAAAGATCTATCGAAGTTTATGCTGACGTAAGTTAGGGTGGACCTATAAAAATCAAAGATCAACCTCTGGTTATCATTCAATTGTGTAGGAGAATTTAGTTACATGGAAAAGCCAAAAGCAATGAGTTGTTTCAAGAAGTAGTGCTAACTCTAAATTGAGAGCTTTGACTCAAGGAAAAGTGGAAGAGTTATGGCTGAAACGAGTCTTAAAGGAAATACAAGTTGAAGCAAGCTTACCATTGAAGCTCCACTATGATAATAAGGCTGCTATATACATAGCCTTAAATCCAATACAACATGATAGATCTAAACATGTTGAGACAGATCGACACTTCATTAAAGAAAAAGTAGGAGAAATTCTATGTTTAACATGTTTGCCCACAAAGTTGCAAGTAGCTAATGTTTTAACTAAAGGGTTACTTAAACCTGAATTTGAGAATTGCATAAGCAAGTTGGACATGATTAGTATCTGTGATCCAACTTGAGGGGAAGTGCGGAAATATATGAATTTATTGTAAATATTCTAGCCGGATTATTAGGGATATTGTAGCCTAATTATAGAGATTATTATCGATTATTAAGAGTTATTAGTATTTATTATTTTGTCTCTCAGCTTTGTGTATATACACTGATTGTAACACATACTTTTGTATAAAGAGAAATATAATTCTCTCCTAAAATTCCACAAATATGTTGGGACTTGCTTGGAAAGATAACTAACCAGGAGCCAGGAAAGAATACTATGGTTTGTGGATACCAAGCTACTGTCTAGCATCCTCCTAAAAAATCTCAAGATGGTAATAGGGTTAATAATTTTTCCAATAATGATCAGCTAGTAAAACTTTTAGAATGTTGTTCACTTTATAGTCAGCTGGTCAATCATAAAAAAAAAAAAAAAAAACTCCTATTGCATCTTTGGCCCATAAGGCTAATTTTCTTCATGCTCTTTAAACTTGAATTGATACCCCATAGATCATTGATTCTGGGATATCAAATATTTACCTCTTATACTCCTAGGGATGGTAGTTGAAAATTAAATTGCAAACTCTGATTCTGTAATGTTAAAATTTGTCCTTCATGTTCCTAAGCTTGCTTGTAATTTTTTTGTTGGTAAGTTATTAAAAATTCCTATTCTGCCAAATTTCTATTCATTCATTGTGTTTTTTTTTTTTTCCACTTTAGGATCTATCATGAGTAATGATAAATGTCAGTGCTAAAATGCATGAGGGACTCTGCTACCTTGAAACTTTGAAGTACTTGAATGGAGAGTATAAGTGGCGGAGGAGGTGAGAGCTTTTATTTAGAAGGGGTTAAAAAAAAAACTGAGGTTGTGAATCTACCAAAAGGCAAAAGCCAAGCTGATTACAAATGGGTATTTACAGTCAGATATGAAGCTTGTGGAATAGTTGAAAGATAAAAAGCTTGAATAGTTGCAAAAGGGTTCAAACAAACACATTGCTTTATAGAGACCTTTGCACCACTGACAAAATTGAACCTTATTTATGTGTGAACTTTAGCTTCCCATCTTAAGTGGCAAGTTTAGCAACTAGATATTAATAATGCATTTTCAAATAGTGGCCTAAATGTATCTACTCTTTCTCCCAGCTCCAGTAACGATGGGGGTGTCAATAAAGTTTGTAAACTCATGAAGTCTTTACATGGTCTCAAGCAATGTCCTAGAACATGGTTTGAGAGATTTACACAAGTTTTAGAAAAAGAATACAAGCAGTGTCACTCAAATCACACATTGTTCTTGAATCACATGAAGGAAAAAGGAAAATTGTCATTGTTCATGTGGATGATATTACACTCAATTCATAGGAGATGACATCACAGAGATGGGAAGAAGTAATAGACTTGTCTCAACTTATGTACTTTCCAGGAATGGAGATTGCTAAATCTAAAGGGGGAATCAGTGTATCTCAATGAAAATAGACGCTACATGACTACATCTCATCACTAAAACAGGGTGCAAACCTAATATTGGGTACAGCACATTTGTATGGGGAAGCCTGATAGCATGGAGGAGCAAGAAGCAAAATGTCATGGCAAGAAGTAGAGCAGAGGTACAACTTAGGGTTGTGGCTCAATGAATATTTGAAGGACTGTGGCTCAAGATGTTGCTGGAAGAACCACCAGTCAGCATAGAGCTCCCCATTATTGTGACAATAAAGCTACAATCAATACATCACTCATTAAAGAAAAGGTAGAAGAAGGAATTATTTGTACAACATACACTCCTACCAAATAACAAGATGCAGGCATTCTGATGAAGGGCTTGCCACATCATACCTTTGGAAGACTCAGCAACTTGGACACGAAAGGGGCATCAAAATCCCTAATGACTAGGAATTTATTGTAAATAGTCTCCTTTGCCATGATTGGGGACCATCACTAATCTAGAATTTATGAGAGGAATAGTGTCAATTATTTACAAAGATTTTAGTAATTTGTTTGCTGATTTTGTGCATCTGTTTTCTGTACATATCCCTTCGTCCCTTTGTATAATTTGCATGCAAAATTGAGAAATACTACCTCTGTCCTAAATCATAAAACACTTTTGAAAGAGATTTAGTGTCCCAAAATATAAGACATTTTGACAAAAATAAGGTTTCATTAATTATGCTTTTTCAATATAACCCTTCCCATTATATTATCTCCCTTTAACATTCTTTCACAAATAGAGTATTAAATAAAGTGCATTTTTAGAAGTTTATATTTTTGTTTTGAAAAAATAAGATTGTAAAGTGTATTTAATCAACTTGGTGTGTGTAATTTTGTATCAGTGTCTTATAAATAGAAGGGAATATAGACATCATGTTTCCACAAGTTGAACATCCCTGAAAAGTACTAAAAATTACTATTCAGCAAGCTGCCAAGGAAACCATTATCAATTAATAAGGCTTAAAAAAATGAAGAGACAAGTCCATCAGTGATTGCTCGTAAAAACTAATAGGAAGCTTGATGGGTACCTAAGTCGGAATGGAGAACCCTACTCCAAAAGCTAGCTGTTGAAGTGGGAGAGCCACTTATATACCTTATTAAGCATCCCATACTACTCAATGTGAGACTTGAGATCCATACTACCAAGTCTCCATCAAAGCCACAAAAGGTCATTCAGTTAGATTAACTGACTGAACTAGCCCAGCATTATTACAGCCGACAGCATTAGCATGCAAGTTAAAAGGGCATGCTAATAGAAGTTACATAGAATTATTAAAAGAATTATACCAAAATATAGTCATTTTGCTAAGCATATATTCATCTCAGATGTCTACGTATTATTTCTTTACCATAATGACCCGCTGTAATAAATGGGATACAGGAAAAGGAAAAGTATTTTTCGGATGACAAAAGAACGCAACTTCATGGAAGTGCCCATGTGAGATAATCAAGGTTAAATTCAGAAGAAACTCACCTGTATGTCACGAATCAGAAGTAGGGTGGCCAGAGATCTAGAATCTGCTTGAATTGCAGAATCCTCCACTGATTCATCAGCTAAAATCAATATCTGCAAAGATCAGAAGCAAGATCAAATATATTCTTGATGATAAATAACATATTATAGTTGCATTTGCAAGTGTATTAAGGACATCCCATAACAATCTATTAATCTACTTTTTTGCAGTTGTCAAAAGGATACTATACTCCAACAAGACTAAGGTAGTGCTCGAAAGTTTGTCTTTCCAGAATAGATGGAATGAAGTGAGATGACTAAAAGGTTCTAGCCATCTTTTAATGGAATTTTTTAAAAGGGAATGAAATGGTCAAGGACAGCCAACCAAACCATCCTTAAACATCCTAAATCCTTAAAAATTAAAACGTTATGCATAAATTTTATATAAAGTAGATCATCTGTATCATAATTATTATTTTTTGAAAATGTTCGAACAAGTTATTACGTTGGACAAGAAGTTAAAGCAAAATGAATTTATTCATAAGATTTCATATAAATTAATTCATAAAATTTCAGGGGAATTTATCCATAAGATTTCACACTGGAAAAAAAGTTATGATCCATTCCATTAATTTTATAATAATTCCCAAATGATAGTCAAACAAGACCATTCCTTCTGCCCATAAAACTTCCAAACAACGGAACCTTCTGTTTTATTCCACTATTTCTCTTCATTCTATTTCATTAATGACTATTCCTTTCCATTCCATCATGAATTCCTAAACACAACCTAAGAAGTAACAAAAAACACCGACCATTGTTTTAGCCTCAACATATATCAGATTAAGTACATTGTGGAACCAATAGGTGGTCACATCCCATGCATAAGCATCACAATTCCTCTTTATTGAGATTATTGTTATTTGACCTGGTTGTATGAATGAAGAATTTCCTCCACAGATATGCAACAATAAAACTTGCAGAGGACAGAACAAATAAGTGCCACTTACAGAATCAAATGATTCCAAGGGAAGGCTTTCCAAGTGTCGCCGTATAACAGCATTCCCTTCACGATTAACCAATGATATATTTACCAATCGAATTATGTCAAGGCCACCATCAGTTAGCTTCTTTTCCCTCTCCTTTTCTGGAACATCATTAAACATCCAGAGTTCTGAATTAGGTGCTAGAGATGCCTCCAAAACCTAGAGATACAATGAGAAGTAGGATTGGTCAACACATATATTAACACCCATAAAGAGAACGGAGCAATAGTTGTAGCGTATACACTTTAATTTCATATATCTCATGGTCTATGATAATATAAGTGTATTCTTTATTCAAATGAAATGGAAAGCCCAGGTGCATTCAAATTATTACACTTCGTGGCATTTGGTTTGCAGAACCTTTTAGGATTCATGGAAATGATATTCCTACTTCGGTATGGATTTCAGAAAAATATTCAGGGTAAGAATGTTCAGTTCCCATGAGAGAATTTTTTAAAATGTTAGAAAAGAATGACTGCCCTTATCCAAATACACTCTTAATAATAAATAAACTATAAATAAAACAAAAATGGACAAAAATTAACATAGAAAATATACTATTTAATACGTAAAATGTATAAATAAGTTAGAACAAACAATAATATTAACATTAATAATTATCATTAATTATTTAAAAGCAATATAAATATGTTAAACACTAATGTGGGGGTTTTTCAAGTTTACCAGTGATTATTAAAAAAAGGCGACAAAATATTTTAAGACCAGCCATGATGAGTCAAACACGAAAATGTTATATCCTTGGGAATGTGATTCAATGTGCTGTGGTGTGGGAGTGTTTTGATTATGAAACCAAACACCCCCTGGAACCATAGCAGCAGATTTCTCATAACATTACCATGATCATGTCCTCCATATCCCGTCGCCAACCACAGAAAAGGATTCTTTCTGGAGATTTTGGATAAACAAAGTCCTTGGGTAAGTTTCCCCTCCAAACCTGCAATCAAGAAGGAAACATAAGTCAAAACAAGAAAACCATAAGCAACGTCCCTCACCCATTCACTGTAATTATTTTGGGCTCCTATTGCTGTTTAAGCGATAAAACATTAGCAATGATGAATATTTTCGGACCCACATGAACAAATTCATTTTTCAATCAGTTTTATCGTACTTAAAAGTCTACAGAAACCATCATACAATAAAAATAATTTATCAAAGATTATTTACCATTAATAAAATTAAGAAACAAACATAGAGAAAAATTTTATGCTTTTTCCTTTCATCCTCCCCTAGCACAAACTACAAAGTTACCCAAAACACAACTACAACCCTCCTATTGGCCAATATCAGACCTAAAAAACCCCTATGGATATAGGGAACTGACACAACTACTTGAGGAACCCCCAACAACTACCTTACTAATATCATAATATTTGATTTAATATTGATAAGATACAAGATAGATAGATAGAAAGAAAGAAGGAAGAAAACTCTTTATTAAAAAATGAAATTGGAATTCTAAATTCGTAAAAGTATAAAAATAAAGAAAAATCTCTATTAAGATATATGCAAAAATCTTAGACTCATACAACTAATGAGTCTCCAAATCTACTCTGCTTATCCCTATTAGCTACTATCACATTTATAATATAAAAATAGGCATTAAATAACAATAAAATCATAAAATAACTAGCTAAATCCTAACTAACTTTGACTCAATAATAAACAAATGACTAATCCTACTTGATGTATTTATAAATATCTCTTTATTATTTGTAATAGAAAATAATGGGTTAAAAGGCAAAAATATCCATGAATTTTTCCTCCACAAGCACCCAACATCCTTAAGTGAAAGGTGGTGCAAAATTACCTATAATGTTAATTAAATGAGTGCAAGAGTGTCCCAAACCATTAAAGAAGCCAAATGTTCATTATATTCCTTTACAGTCATCGCTACGCGTTGCCAAATTAGTCATTGACTTTTCTTTCCCCTCCATGAGTACACCAGATAATGCCTTCTCTCTCAGAAAATTCCTCCCTTGAATCTCAAGCCATCAAAATGGTGACTGAGATTGATCCTTACTTTGAAGATTTCCAAATCCTTCTATTTTTGCCAAATGATGGCTTCTTTACTTTGAATCAAACCCCTTTTCAGTATACTCTCTTTCATCATAGGCTTTTGAAGTTCAAGTGTGCCATAGGCTTCTTACAAAGATGCAATCTAGTAGGTTTGAACTTGTGAGCCCAATTAACCATCGGATTCAGTTTTTGTCATCCATGAATACCAAAAGGAAGCATAGAGTACGAGCGGAATCAAAATGGTTGGAGCAAGAAGCAAGGTTCTTATACTTCACCGTCCAATTCTAGAGTTCTATCAATCGATGTGATTGTTGTTCTTTAGTACATATCTATGTGATTTTGTCGATGAGGGTGATGATACCCCAACTATCTAGTTGCCACATGTCGACATCAAGTGCTATCGATCCTCATGCTTGAACTGATCTTCGTCCAGGTTTGACCATCTCCCCTTTATTGTTATCTCTAGGGTAGATCATGCTTGGCCCCAAAACCTAGTTGCTTTGGATCTTATCATCTTTCACACTCAGGTTTCACCCATTCACAATCCTTTCAAATTTTTCCATCTTCCAAATAACTCATCTCTACTTCACTGTGTCTCTACTTCAATCGCTCATCTATTCTTGCCCTGTTTGCCGGCTTGAGGTGCCGACGCTAATGTCTACCAACTTTGATGAGCCTAGTGACCAAGAAGGAAGGATGTGAAGGTGCTTGAGATGGGATCAAATTCAACTGGCTTCTTTTTGACCTTTCCACGGGAGGCGTCGATGAATTTGTCTAAAAAGAGTGAGTCGACAAGCAAGGACAACTTATGCACTCCACATCAGCAAAATTAGTCAACCATTTGCTTACATGTCAATTAAACGGTCAACATCTGAACTATTTAATGATTTGGGCACTACTGCACCCACTTACTTAACGTTATGGGGCACTCTTGCACCATTCTTCACTTAAGAATGCTGGGTGCCCCTGGAGGAAAAGTTCATAGGCATTTTTGCCCTTTAACCCAAAATAAGTTAACAACTCCAAAAAACTTGATCTACTATTTCATCCAATTTCACCCACAATCCCATGATATATAGTACTCTTATCAAAATTTTGATGTTTCCTTGTTTCGTTTGGTTGGAGAGGTAGGAGATTTAAGGACTTTAATATTTCCTAGTTTGGTTTAAAAGGGAGGACAGGGGAAATAATAATAAATTGACTATTATACCCCTATCAAATTTCTTTTATTCTCTTTTCAAAAAAAATGATTATACTACAATTCATCATTCCTTTGTTTTAGAAATGTTAACAGCTTTCACCTTATTTATTAACAAATCTCATATTATTTATCATAAATCTTTATTAAATATTTTTAAATATTATTTGATTTATTTTATATCATTATGTCATTGTAAAGGCTAGTATCAGCTAAGGAAGTGAAGATAGGGTGGGAAAAAAATATTGGAGAGAAGCATGGCAAGAGATGGGTGATTTTTGGCATATCACAAGGGTAATTTTAGAATCAATCATCATATATTTGTTTTTAGGAAGTTATGAGTACAGAGTTAAATAACGTTGCAATTTCATTGACTAAAGAGCATACAATATATACAACATATGCTCTTAATTAGATCACACACATATGCCTACAAATCTGGGTAATAGAATAAAATCAAATCGCAACAATCATGGGGAAAGAAATTAGGAAATAAAATCAATCTAATTTTGCTCATTTACAATCAGGATTTTCACACTAATATTGCTATCGAGACTTCCACACTTCCCCTCAAGTTGAACTACCATATCCAACTTTGAACAAATTTTCCAACTGCTTCTTTGTATAGGCACTTGGTAAAGATATCTGCTATTTGATTCCAAGTGGGCACATGTATAAGTGAAACAATACCCCCTTCAATCTTCTCTCTGATAAAGTGCCTATCCATTTCTACATGTTTGGTCTCATCATGCTGAACAAGGTTGTGTGAGAGGTTTATAACAGCTTTGCTATCAATGTACAGCTTCATTGGGAATTTTAATATAATCTTCAACTCCTCTAATACTCTCTTCACCCAAATTACTTCACATATACCATATGCTACAGCTTTAAATTAAGTTTTAGCACTACTTCTTGCTACCATATCTTGCTTTTTAGTCCTCCATGTTTACTAGATTACCCCACACATGTAATATCCTGACAAAGATTTGCTATCACCATCAATACCAACCCAGCCCGCATCAATAAATATTTACATTTTTCTTCTATCTTCTGGTAAAGCATACCTTTGCTAGGTGTGCCCATTCAAGTATCGTCTAATCTTATAGACTGCTTTAAGATATTTCCCCTTTGGAGTATGAGTGTTGACTTGCTACACTTACTCAGAAGGCAACGTCTAGGCTAGGATGGGAAAGGACAATGAGCTTCCCAACTAGTCTTTGGTACCGCCCTTTATCAACATCTTTACCTTCATTTTCTTCCACTTCTTCTGCACCATCATCATGTCTTTCCTCATTCTTGTCATCTCTCTTCTTCTTTTTCTTCTTTTTTGTTGTTACTTCAATAGGGGTTGTGTTAGGCTTGCACTCCAACATTCATGTTTCCTTTAGTAAGTATAGGATGTATTTTCTTTAGGATATATAAATCCCGTTCATGGACCATGACATCTCCTTGCCTAAGAAGTATTTCATTTCTCCCATATCCTTCACTTGAAATGCTTACAAACCTATGTATATATATCACCAAATATTATAAGAAAACCTATGCTTACAGACAACCTTGAACTAGGTAATAGTAACAACTGAGATTGGCCTATTAGTATGGTCCACTGTGTAAATACCTATTCCCTCTTTCTCCTCATTTTTTCCTCTCCTTCCTAAAGCAACTATGATTGGACCTATGCGCTTGATTAACAACATAAATGTGACTTCGGCCTTCCCTTTATTACTTATCAAAGAAGCCTCATTCCTTTCTTTCTCGATTCTTCATTATGTGCCTTAGATGTCCTGATGTCCTACTATCTTTCCCACTTCTAGACCAAACTTGAGGAACCATTAAATGCAATTTGCAAACGACCTACTCTTCTTAAATGGTGGTCCATCCTCACCAACTCGCAAGACACATGCTCAAGGGAAGAAGACAATGTTCTCAACTCCAATTCCAACCTCATGTTCCCCTCACGCACCCTAGCAAGCTTAGGTATTGAAGTTTAAGAACCGCGATATCTGTAAACTTTCCATACCACATTCCCTAGTTCAAGCCCTTTCATTTGGGTGCAAGACTCCTATTAATAGCTAATAACAAAAGTACTACCATAATGTTACGATTTTATAGTGTTGACATTAGTTAGTTAAGGTGATTTAGACGTTAGGTTAGCTATTGGGTTCCTATGAGTCCTTATATAAAATCCCTGACATCTAAATGTAAAGGCATGACAGATTAATAAACTTAAGTCTCAGTATCTCTTTTCTCTCTAATATCTCTTAATCTCTTCTCTTTCAACCCTTATGTTCCTCTCTCTACCTACCTTCTTCTATATTCATCTACTCTAAAATTACAAATATCTATCAGTGGTATTAGAGCCAATCATCCTCGGCCATGGCACACCATTCATTCCAAGAATATGAGGATGACCACTAGATGTGGCTTCATCAGTAGGGGAATGTGAATGAATTCTTTGATAGCCACACCAGCAAATTAAAATTACAAGAAAAATATTTGGTTTCTATGTATGTGGCTGGACTTAATCCAGAACTTGTAGAACCAGTGTGTCTCTTCAAACCAAGAACGATGCAAGAAGCTAGAAGTCTGGCAAGAATGCAAGATATCATGCTAATACGTCAGATAGAAAATAAGGCACAAGCACTTCAAGATAACTATAGGTCACAAGAGTTTAAAATTGAGCAAGAAACCTCTGTTTATAAAAAAGATAAAGGGGTCTTATTCATTCATGTCGCAAGAAATATGTGACAAGGTTCAACAATCCTTAGTGCATGATGCTAACATCGCGAAAGGGCTCTAGTACATTCTTGACGTCAAGCAAGGTAATTTCAAGGAGACTTGAGGTAGGCCGAAGTCATCTGTTTCAAACAGAGGGGTCATCGTTGTCACTCCGCCTTTACATCTTGAAGCTGATATGAGTCGAGCTGTTCAGGAAGTTTTGAAACAGCGGTTCAATCAAGTTACAGAGTTTTTCTCATCCTGGGTCCCTTATGATCATAGGCTTTTAACCTTATCTACTCTTGGTTTTCCAAAGTCACTGCAGCTGTCTTCTTGGTTTCATTTATCATGACCTCTGCATACTTCCTTAGCATTGTCTGTCTTCATTTCTTCATCATTATCTCTATTTCATTTGCATACCTAGAAGTCTTTGCGAAGTGAGGCTGTGTTCGAGCTTGAAGAAAAAGAGAAAAGTTTACAAGAATGAGAAATACAGAAGTTTTCAAGAAAGAAAAAAAGTTTCTCCTTTTTTCTGCTCAGAGAATCACATGGGTACATGTTTTAGGTGTTGAAAAGTCAAACACTTACCTAGCTCACGTGGGTTGGTTAATATGGTGGTGGTATGATATTCTCAAGTCTAGAAAAAAAAAGAGAGAGAGGAAGGAATAGTCAAAATCTGTACTGGGTTAAACCTAAAAGGCCCAATACCTACTGTCTAGTGGATTCACATGCCTATGGACCTATCTCCTATGCTTTCACTTTAAACAAGGCCAAAAACACCTTTAGTCAATTTACTTGTCTTCTTCAAGATTAAAAATGAGTTTTTTAGGGATTTTTAAATTTTTGTACTTGACCCTTGAGGGCAAGGGTCTTCTGGGGAGGGAGTATTGTTATGTAATACAACAACAACAAGCCTTTATCCCACTAGGTGGGGTCGGCTACATAGATTGCAAGACGCCATTGTGCTCAAGTATTGTTATGTAATAAATAAATAAATAATATTAGTTAAAACGTTAACAGGTTGTTATGATAGTTACTTAAAGGTGTCAAGTATGGGCTATAAAAAGGCACCAAAAAGACCGTTGTAATCAGTTCAGGAAATAATAGACTTGAGTTCCCTGTTTCTATCTTCCTCTCTAGTCTGTTTCTCTCTGTTTCCTCTATTTCCTCTCTTTCCTTCCCTTTTCTCTAATTGTTATGCATCACATAACTACCAAGGGAACTACCACAACTACCTTGGGAGCTACCATAATGGTGAGAAGCCACCATTAACTTATAGTAGGTGCGGGATTAAAAGAAAGTTGAAGGATGGAGGTCAACTAATGAGTAATGGGCTGGAAGATGTGAGGTGGTGAGCAAGAGAAAATGACATGTGACATCAAGGGAGGAAGCATTAACAGACAATAAAGTGACTAAACTCATGCTTTACCGCTTTCCAGAAGTTATGCATCATTTAATACATTATCAATTAATTGTTATTTCGTTTTTAGCATTATAAATAGGAGCCTGTAGATCTAGTAAAGGGTAGGTTAGAATTTAATTGGAGATCCTCCTTGGCTATTGGGATTAGAGACAGCGAGATTCTTGGTCCTCAAGTTCTAGTAGATTTTATTTTTCAAAATATGTATATATATATATATATATATATTCTATTAATATCATAACGTCCCCTATCTGTGGCTATCTAATGAGCATATCAGCCGATGTCAAGAAAGATATTTGTCCATGCATTTACCACCAAAAAAAAAAAAATCATAGAACAAATAATAGATTGGAAAAAATTAAACACCAACTATTCATCCGAGACCCTAATGTTTTCAGGTCAAAGGAGAATGAAAGCACCATAGGCAATGAGGCTGGGGCATAGGTATCATCATCCTCAGCTATGACCAGAACTTCATCTCCTTCTTGTAGAATGTAGGAGTCATCTGGATTCAAAATAATTCTACCTCCACGTGATGCAACCTTGATTCCACAAGGAATTGCATCAGGAAAGCTGATCAATACATCCTCAAATAGCATGCCATCCAATTGTGGCCATCTTTTAATGTAGAATTCACAATTTTCAAATCCAAGTATGTCTTCCCAAATCTGCCAAATCAAACCCACCGAATATTTAAATAAATTACATTATACATATGAAATGTCTATTGTCAACCATATAGATTAATTAACAATTGATAATAAAGTCCAGAAAAGTTGCACTTAATTAACATCATGAATAGTGCATTAAAATTGCAGAATATAAAACACATTTCAACCTGTGCAAGCCCAGGCTGCCGAGCACATTGAATCATCAATCGACCAATAACATCATGAGCAACAACAGTTTCAACAAGATCACCACCAACAAGTTTAACAAGGACCTCATTATCAAGATCACTTAATTCAACAACTATGTGTCCTCTTAATCCTTCTTTGACTCCAGTTAGACTTAAGACTGTTCTGAGTGCACGGGCATCACTCTGTATCCAAACAAAAGTAAGTTAATGGTTATTCACCCCTACCAAATCTGGAGCAGATTATCACTGAATTAGACCTGATCAGCATTCCCATCTTCAGCAAGGACAATTATTGCACGTGCCTTTGAAACAGAAACCTGAAAATCACATTGGTTGAGTACATAAATTAACAAACATTTTGGAGAAAATAAAATGATCGTTGGAAACAGAGACCCAAGAAAATGCAAGTAGCAGTAATTGAAAAAGCTCCAGCCTTGACACTAAATTCACGCAAAGCATCGTTCTCAAATCTAGTTGGAGAATCTTATAGTAACATCATGCATAATGTAAAATCAAATCCAACCCTGTGCTAGCCAAAACCACTGCCACCAGACCCCAAACAGAGAAAAATAAAGAAGCAATCACCAACTTAAGAGAATGTCTTAAACATAATAAAACATAAATAATGGTCAACAAAGTTATTCTATTCTATCAATTTTCCTTTTTTCCCCTTCATGTGTAATTAATGTAGCAGGGTTCTAACAGACTTGTATTAAAACAACAAAGCAAATTGGAATGTTAATTTGAACTTTATGTTCAGGGATTTTGTTCATAGTTTTGATAGGTTAACTACGTTTTCTCAGAATATGACTGACCAAAGCTGCGTCTATAACCATCCTCCACCTTGGCTTACAAAGATGGAGGAGGGTGAAAGAAGCTTGCATTTTGATGTACCCTCTATGTAATTTCTGTTGAATTAACTTTGTATCTTTATTCCAAAAAAAAAAAAATACAAAGCAAATCTATTTATTTAAAACTTATCAAAATAACCCAAACAGCCTCTCTTGAAGGTAGAGACCTCAAGGAAAATAAAAATTCCCCTTTTTTGGTCAGGGGACAGGAGGGGCAGAGGACCCAGATCAACATATGCACTATACATGTTACTATTGAGAAATGACACCAATTTTTTTTTTTTTGTACAAGAAATGACACCACTTTGATGCATAGGTGAATATCATCATAAGGCTGTATTGAACAGTTATGTCCAGAGATAAGGCAAACGTTATTTTGTTGTTTAATTTTCCTACTTGAGAGGGATTTGAGTGGCTGGTTTGTAGCTAACATACCCTATTAATTCCATTATATGTATCCGATCTATATTTATATAAAAGGGCATAAAAAGATAAAAACCTTTTTCTGGCATTCCTTCATCGTTTTCCTTTGATTCCTAAACCTGGCTTGTCATAATATCAAACAAAAGGATAAAGTCAGATATACTACCTTTTTAAGATCAGCCAATATTAGGGGGCTGCCACTTCTGCATATGACCGATGTTCCTTTAAAATCAAATTCCATTTTTGCAATGTCAAGCTCCATTTCTTCCTTGTCTCGCTCAGCCATCACTACAACAGTTCCTCCACCCAGACTCTCATTGGCTATAGAAAGTTGATTTAGTAATGAACCCTGCAAATCCAGTTAGGGTATAATGGCGAGATACAGGAACATTTCAAAAAGTCAAAGCCCACTAACTAGGTAGATTAATTTGGCACATTTATGGCTAATTAAAATAGTTTTAGCGAATAATTAATTAGTTTGGCAAAACCAGCGGCAATCTAACTAATGATGTCTAACAGATGCTAGAATCAGAATTTTACCAATTTATCACTCCAGCCAAGAATCAAAGTGTGATTTTGCTCAACCACCTCACTTTTTCCTTTTCTTAGTGAGTCAAACTTCTCAGAAATCGTGTCAGAAACAAGCCCAAGCATCATTGCAAATATAAGCATCCCGCCAAAGCTAATAGAAACTGCAACTAACCTCGGACCAATACCTTCAGAGCTGGCGTGGTTGCCAGAATCAGCAACATAGGTCCAAGATAGCCAAAGGCAATGTGCTAAATCCTCAGTTGTTACACCAAAAAGGGCCAATCCTCCAAGAAAAATAAGTAACAGTGTTGCAACTAACAACACTAGTGGCTTAGCATATGGATGGACTGATAAAAACACATCAACACGATATGCTACTCGCTTGTTTAGAGATACTTCTTCTGATGTATTATCAGAAAACCTTGATTTTGATACATAATCTATGTACTTGAAAATAACAAGTGGGATATATAGAAGTGTGAGTAAGAAGAACAGGGCAACATTTCTTTTGAAGTTTCCACTAGGACAAGGAACGCCATCCTGAGCTGGTGAATCCATAATATCTGGCGCGTCCAACTTGTTGCACGCATTAAATCTATGATTAAGGTTGAGAATCTCAGTCTGCGAAGAAAATATTTTGTTTAGCTCAGTCCTTGAAAACACCAAGCAAAGAAAAATGCCACCGGCAAGTTTAAGGTAAGCTTAAATCATCAAATGGAATCCTCAAAACCATAGTCTTCTACCATCCGATTCGTCATGGAATGCACCTGAAATTTTGTTGATATCAAGATATGACCCCTAAATTGTAATTAAGTACCGATTAATTTCCGCACATGAAGCATGTATGTTAGATTCATGATTGAAAGAAATGAAGGTGTAAGCAGCAGAAAGAAAGAGTACGATACTTAGTGGAGTGCTAAAAATCTTGCCTTGACGCATATAGTGGCTAAGTTGTGCAAAAACTCAATTATTCTTAGCATTGCAAAAGCTTACCAACAAATCAATCAGCAAGTTACCTGCAACTGATTGACTTGGCTCTGTAGATCAATGTTTCTGAACAGCAATAGCAAGGAGAAAACAATGGCCACCATCTGCGCCCATATCCACGTTTTAGTAAAAAAAAAAAGAAAGAAAGAAAGGAAAATAAAAATGAGAGTGGCATAATTTGCAAGTCATCAACTCAGAGAGAGAAATTGACAGAAGGACAGAGAGTCGCCACCAAAATGGCTATCTGCCAACGACTTGAAAAGCCGATAAGTTTCGTCTCATCAGATTCTTTATCAGTGGGGAGGGCCTTCGAAAGGCCGTCCAAAGTCTCAGGTTTCTCATTGCTGAGAGGAAACTCAACTCTGCGACGAATTTCTGAATTATTGAATTCATTGCGTATGGTGGGGGTCGGGGGTAACGACGGATTAAGTGGCCAAGGGCGAGAGAGTCTATGCTTTGAGAAGAATCGACGGGGGTTTCGTGCAGAGACTGAAGAGTGAGAAGCGGAGCGGATGAACGACGGTGAGGGAAAGAACCAATCTCTACTGGTGGAAGACCACTCCTGGGACATTACGGGAATTACAAGCGGAATTTTGGGTTGCTCTGACAATCTGGTGAGGTTTTCGGTGCCCCTATGAAACATTAATGGCCCCCTTCTGCTGCCTCACTTGTCAGTTAATTGTTAATTAGTTAATATAATTCCACCCCTCATCCACTGATATCATTAATTATTAATGAAAATTTTATTATTAATTTACGAGTTAACCCGATGCCGGCCTGTATTTTATTATAAGTTTTTCTTCGTTAAATTAATTGTCAGCCGTGGAATCGTACAATTGTCAATTTGCATAGGTGGGCCGGTAGAAATTCTTATTTAATTAAAGTTGGCAAGTTTATTTTGACCAATTTTATAAATTTATAATTTAAAATTTTAATATTCATGACCACAAATTCATTTATTCACAAATTACCTCCACTTGGATGGGAAGAAAAATTGAGAAGAAAAAAAATGAAGAGAAAACATTAAAAAAAATGCTATTACTCTTCCTGTTTGGATCAAGATATTAAAAATTAGACCAGTCATTGAACGATTAAGATACTGGGTCACAGGTTAGTGGTTTAAGCAGGAGTTAAGTTGGTCATGATTAAAATAATATAATTTAAATAAAAAATATTAATAACAAAAACATTCAATCAAATCCAAAATTAAACTTTAATACAATAATAATTATAGAAACCACTCATTCTAAAGTAAAAAATGCAGAGGAGGAAGAGCAATTACAAAACGAACGAGCAGGCGATGAGGAGATACACTGGGAGAAAGAGAGAGAGAGGAGAGCAACATCACAACGAGTCATACTTCACAATGAGTTTTGCTTTATAATAGGAGAGAGGAGTGCCAAAAGTGACACGAGTTTTGCATCACAATATCATAGTGAGTTTTGCACTTCTACTACACAGCGAGAGGGATAGAGTTGAGCAAGGATCCCAGGAGAGCAACGACAATAAAGCAGGCAACGATGATGGCCAACAATCGATGGGTGGGGTTTGACTTGAGCTTGAGCTAAGGATGGGTTTGCTGTAGTTATTTTTTGTGTGCATGTGTGTGTGTATGTCAAAAGAAGAAGTCACACATTACCCATATGAAGAAAGCTCCTTGTGTATATATACTAAGGAATGAAATGGGCTAGTAAAATAGGCTTGAAGAAAAAGTAGGCTCACGCGCATGAAACAGGCTAACTTAATAGTAATCGCAGTTGAAAACAGCAAATTCACCCCCTATGCGAAAGTTAAAGAAATAGTAGGTTCCTTTTATTAGATTATTTTAGCAAAAAATAAATAAATATTTATTTATTTATTTAAATTAGCTTACCAAAGAAACTTATTTTTTATCTGTTTGAAGTTTGAATTCAAACCCTAACTATTTCTGGGCCTTGAGCCATTTCTTAAACAGATTTTACTAATCAATTTTCATTAGCGTCCTGTCCCCCAACATCTCTAAAAATAATATGCGTGTTGTCACACCCAGTAAAATGCGACGCGAACGATGCGTAAGCAGAGGTCCCGGCCTTCGCGGTGGGAACCTCACGGAACGAAGAGTCGCCACCAAGATTTTAAGGTAAATCTTGGGAAACTGATTAATGGAAGGATAAGGGTGGTCTGTGAAATCAAAGAATAGGTTCGGGAGTCGATTGAGTGTGGGGAAGGTGTTAGGCATCCCACAACACCCGTTCGACAGAACAGTTACCTGAAGTTTGCTGTGCTATATTAATATGGTTTTTTAATTATTTTAATTATCCCTTTTATATTCATGTATTTGGTAAAAATGATAAGAATTAGGTGAGAAATATTTATTTATTTATGAGGGAGGACGAACTTGACTCAGAATCTGACTCTAAGGCCTACGTATCCTGTGATGGGGATCAAAGTCCACGTAGTTCGGGCTCAAAAGTTTGTTGGTAAAAATATTTTTTGAAGAGAAATTAATTGAAAATAATTCACTATTTTGCAAATGAAACAATTTCTGAAATTTTGATATGTGTGTTTTAAATTGCAAAAAGTAATTTAATTTTAATTATTTTCTCAATTTTTGAATTTTGAGTTAAAGAAAAGAAAATGGTTTAAAATTATTTTTTTATATTTTGATAGGGAATTTAATTGCAGTACCTGCAGAACCTTATTGATTCATACAGTAATGCAATTACTCTAAATATCTGCGGAGATTCCGAAATCCCACACAATAGAAGAGTTTGGCAATTTAATTTATTTATTTATTCTTATGTATATTTTAAGTGTTAAAAATATATTTTAAGTGTGTATATACATGTTTTAAAGAATTTTAATCATCATACCTGCATAGCCTTATTGGCTTATACGGTAATATGATTATCCTAAATATCTACAGAGATTCTAAAATCTCACACGATAAAGGGATTAAATTTAAATACATTTTTAATGTGATTATATTAATATAATTTATACATATTTTAAAAAACTTAATCGTTATATCTGCAGAGTCTTATTGACTCATGCGATAACATGATTATCTTATAAGTCTATAGAGATTCAAAAATCTCACATGACTAAAAGATATAATTGGTAAATATGATTACCATTTAAATATATTAATTTGGTTAATTAATTTTCTGAATTGTGTATTATATGATTGTTTACAAAAATCATTTATTTATTATAAAGATTAAAAATCACTATATCTGCGAGGACTTATTATCCCACACGATAATGTGATTAATTTAAGTCCTTATGAAAATTCTTAAAATCTCATATGAAACTTAAATAAATTACTTAGATTAAAATAAATTTAATTAAAACTATTGATTATATGTATAAATTGGATCTCTATTCCTGCGAAATCTTATTAATTTACACGAAATGAGACCACTTTAAATGTCTGTGGAAATTCTTAAAATCTCACACGACAAGTAAATGATTAGAGATAAATTTTCTCTTATTCATTTCATTTTTTTTAATTGGGTAAGAATCGAATTCTATCTTCTCTGCCTTTTATAAAATAGGCTTGTCATAACAAATAAAATCGTACATGGAATCATGATGGAGAGTGCTATACGATATGAGTGTAGCAATATTATTGACAAGTAAAGGACCTTAGGATAAATGAAGATAAAAAATTATGCCCATACATATTAATATGCCCTTTCATGTTAAAAACACATTTAAAGACCTTGCTTAATAGTTACACTAATTCTTCATTTGAAATGAGGTTATGCCTAAAATCAAATTAAGCTTAATTATGATAGCAAGTAAAAATTATTATTTGCAATCTCTTTATCCTTTTTTTTCTCTTCAATCTCTCTTTTGTTTTAAAAATGATAATTATGTTGATTTTCATTTGAAAATTGAAAAATGTGGGACAAATATTTAAACATGAAATTTATTTATATAAAAAAAATCTAAATCAAACATGTGTATTTCAAATTCAGAACCAAGAAAACAAGGCAAATTATGTGCATAATATCCTGTTCATTCAACAATACTAGCAGTGATTATTGAGAGAAAGAAAAATAACTATACCGGATGACATTTCTCCTCCTTCAAACTTCAACTTGATCAGGCTTGGGTTGCTTCTTTTGCTTCTGGCCGGATCACGCTCCACCTCAAAGAAAAACCTTTTTCCTCATCTCTTTCTTTCTATCTTCTTCTCCCCGCTCTGATCAGTCTCCTCTGTCTCTCCTTGTCTCTCATGATGCTCTCCTCTTCCTCTCTTCTCAGTTTTTCAGCAAACACGTTCAAGAAGGAAAAGCTTTCTCTCTCGGTTTACTTAGCCTCTGTTTTTCTAGAAAAAGGCTCTCACTCTTTTTTATCTTCCTTGCTGCGTCTGTTCTTCGTCTAGTTTCCTTTTATCGGTCTCTGTTTTTATTCATTCAGTCTTGCTCTTCTCTCACACTAAAACGTTCCTGTTTTCTTCACTCCGCTCATTCTCGGCCTCCTTCCTCCAGTTTTCCTCTCTCTTCATCTCTATCTCTTCCTCTCTCGGCCTCTCTTTCAGCTTCTAATCTCTGTCTCTGTTTTGCTGCGTTTTTTCATCGTCCCTTCTTGCTCTGTTTTTCAGCTCCTTCGGTCTCTTTCTCCTCTGTCCAAGTTCTCTCTTCCCTGTCACCGTGTTCTCTTCCTCTCCAGACTCCTCTTTCTTCATCTTTGTCTGAGCTTTCTCCCCTTCTCGTCTTAGCTCTCTGTTTCACGTCCTTCGGTCATTTCTTCATTGTCACTGCCTTCAGTTTTTTTTCTTTCTTGCTATATTTTTCCAGCCCCCTTCCATCTTCTTTCTCCTCTGTCCGGTATGAAAATCCTTTTATACTCTCAGTCTTTCCCTCTCGGCTTCCTCTTTCTCTCCTTTTTTGCTGCTCTTTCTCTGCTCTGTTTCTCTCACGTCTTTCCCATGCATGCGTGACTGCATGTTGCTTTTTTTTTCTGCTATTGTCTTTGTGTGTGCTCGCTGCTCTGTCTCCCTTTGTGTTTGCGTGCACTTTTTCTGTTTTCTTTTCGTGTGCTGTAACGTGCATGTCCAGTTTTGCGTCTCTGGCTTTGTTTTTTCTTTCTGCTAGCAGAGAAGTGTATGTATATGTATTCTAGTTGCTTGCTGCGTTTTTTTTCTGTGAAGCTCTTTTCTGCAACCTATGTTTTCGTGTTTCTGCTTCTTCTGTATTTTGCTCGTGTGTGCCTTTCTTTTTCTGTGTGTGTTTCGTGTGTTGGTGCTGTGTTTTTTCCTTCTGCTCTCACGTGTACGTGCATGTTTCTATTTCTTTTTCATTCTGCATGTATGACCGGTCATCTTGGTTCTGCTATTCTACCATGTCTGTGTGCCCTTTTGACCGAGTGAGTGAAAAACTGATGGGTTAAGGTTTAAACCCATCGGTTATTATTTGTTTTATTTATACATATATATATATATATTTAAAAAATGATTTAATTAATTTTTTTAATCATGTTTATTATTTTTAAAATTAGAAAACAAATCTAAGTTTGAATTAAGCAGATATAACTTTTTTTTTTGGAATGTAACAAAATTTAAAGGAAGAAATTCAAAAAGAGTTGATTCTTAAAAGTTATCTCTTAATATTTTGAATGGAGAAGATAATTTTGGAGAGATTTTCAAAGATTTAAATAAAATTTT